ATATATGATAATGTTTCCATTTCTCCTTAAAGTGAAACCATTTCTCAATCGATTGGTACCGTTGTCCACTTCTGGAGAAAGTTAATATTTTCAGCTTATTTTTCTATTATAGATGCTGGTTGCAAAGGATCGTCCACCTGAAGATAGCTCTACTCAACAATGATCATTCAAACAATCAAATTCATTAAAAATTAATGCTCTAAAGTTTCACAATTTTACTTAAACTGTAAATTGTTGTCATGTCTGAAGGATATGAGGCGGGATAAATTTTTCACAAAACCTAATAAAACTAATTTTTAAGTGTATTTGCCTGAGAACTAACATTTATGAAATAAAATCTAATTTCATCAAATAACTCGTTCACATCAGATATGAACACGTAACTTAATACTTACGTCGTATATTCCAGACTCATTCTTCAAAATTTATTTTTCCATGCTGCTTTCATATGTTTCAACTACGATACAGCGAGTGGGTGTGGGTATGGATGTGAGTAAAGAGAAGACCTGAATCCTCACCGACACCCACACCAACACCCACACCCATATATAACATAAACTCTATTGATGAGAGCTTCCATGAGACTATCGAGGATCGTGTCAGAAATTGAAGCACTCAATAAAATTTAGTTTTTTGATTTGATATTCTCATCTTATTCAGCATCATCTAGAACCTCTAAATCCAAATTTTTAGCGCAGTTAGATGAGCTGATGAAAAGTTAGCTCAATTTTACTGTCGAGCATTCACAAAGCTATTTGCGGAATATGGTCAAAAACCGTTCCTATCAAGTTGAGGTGTTTTTAGATAACGAAACCTTAACAAAAACTTTTGTGTAATATACCAAAAGGCAAGGGAGGAAAAGCGGATCCTGGATCCTCGGATCCTGTGGATCCTCGTGAATCCTGTTGGATCCTCGTGGATCCTGATAGAACCTGATGAATTGTAGAATAAATTATTTGAAGTGTGCCAAAACGAAGGTGGGAAGATCTGAGTCTAATAGATGCAAGGGTACATTAAATTCCAAAAAAAGTACATTAAAACCTCTCTATATGAGCACCTCCTTATTTTGTGGGGTCCAAAGTCCGCCCAAGAGAATTTAGGTGGAAATGAGCCTTCCAATTATGACCACTTACTTATTCTGAACTGTGAACTCTCTTTTTCAGTCCCATGAGTAACAACAACCACCATAATGCGAGCAATGTGTGTTCTATCGTTCACTTGCAGAACGAGGGAAAATTCTACTGTGCTTGTTACATTGTAATTAATAAACAATCAAGTAACACATAAGGACAAGATGGGTTAACCGTTCGTGTTAAGAAAAAAACTCTTAGTAAAAATAGTCATTAATGAAACATTTCGTCATTTTGTGAGGGCAGTTAGTTACATCTAATCATGCTAAGACGCATTGGTTTACCTTTGACTAAAATAAGCGAATTAATAAAAGATTTTGAACCTTCTTTATTACAAAGAGACTCATTTTCTGTTACACAGTATCCTCAACTTTATCAAGCCATAAATGAAATTGAGTCCAAGCTTACATACATCTATCTTGATTCAAAACTTTCTGCTCAAAGCACTATTCATAGCTATTTTAGGAAAGATTGGTTCTTGTCGCAAAAAAGTTATCGTTTAAGAAGGATAGATGATTATTTGAATAAATAAATTATTGAAAAGAAGACAAAGGTCATTTTATGTCATGGAGAGGCGATTGTAAATGAATCCCCATTGTTTGAGAACAAAACATCCGAAAACCTCCCAATAATGTGTACCTCAGTAAACTGAGCACTTTTTTCAGCCCCAATGGTGCTCAGATTAGAAAGGTTTTACTGTGAATGAAAAAAAAAGTGACTTCAGAATTTGTAACTAAGAAGAGCAAGCAGATCCCGGATACTGAGATGCTTTTGTGTCTCCGTATCTTTTGGCGTATCATGTTCAGTTGTGCGCATTTTTAGAACCTATCAGAATCTACGCCTCCTCCATCAACCTCGTAGCATTTTGATGTTTATTGGTTTCTGCTACATGCTGCTTGTCTCTGATATTTTGTGATGGGTTTTATTAAATAGTAATTGATTGCGGTAAGTTATGACAACTTTGGTACATTTCGATAAATCTATTATATAATTTATTAGGACTCATGGAGCCATCAGGGTCCACTTTTTCCCCTACATTGGCCTCAGTGTACCAGAACTCAAGTTAATTTGATACTCTAGTCTCAATCCTGTGTTTCCTTTAGAAGGCCTAAAAAGATCTGTTAGGACTCTGAATCTGAAGATTCTTATCATGTTTTCTTCAAAACTCTGTTACGAGTTTTAGTATCATCAGTTTTCAGGATACTTGATTGTGAAAGAGGAGCCTCCTACGAGCGTTTTCAAGTTCCTACTGAGATATTTTGATTATTTGAAAATGAAGGATCCTACTTTGGTTCACTCTCAGTCTTATTCAGGACCTTGGCATAAATAACAGAATGAATTTTGCTTAGATTTTATCAGTTTTACCAGGATCTGTTCGGAATCTTTTAGCCATCACCCTCTTCAACTTACAATTAGATCAGACAAGGATTTTACAAAGAATAACACAAGAGCAGTAAGAACATTAAACTGATGAATCCTATCAAGATTCAATCAGAATCCTATCTCGTTTTTTCTGTGATCTTCTTATGAAAATCTCTTCTAACCATTTCCAGATCCCATTCAGATCTCTTCAAGGACACGTGTTTAGGGTCCTTCTCACAAAAGGTCACGGGCAGTCACAATCCTTCTGAGAAATTATCATGGCTGAACGAACATATTTACAATGTTCATTTGAAGTTTGTTCACAGCTTGGTGTTAAGCAATCTAAGAAGAATAATGATTGGCCTGTTTTAGGCTTAAAAAAATGACGAAAAGGGTTCATCAAAATTTTAAGCAGTTCCTGCTAGAGGTTTTTTGAAGATTTTTGAATCTTAGAATCCCAATAAGTTACACTGCATGTTAAGTAAAATATTAACAGGTACAAACAGAAGAACTACTAAAGATTTCACCATGTTTTTTGTTTTAATTCTGACAGAAATCCAAGAATTCTAGAACACGCCTGAGTCTTATTCTGATATTCATTTGCATCTCTATGAAAGTGAATTGAAGAATTCGGACAAAATCTTCGAAGATTTTTCTTCAAATCTTTTAGAGATTTATATTCACTACGTTATGACGTTCACGGCATGCAACCCATTTATCTGTTGGATTTTATTATCACATAAAACTTGAAAACTCATTATAATGCAGATTATAATATCAGTTTAACTGTTGTACTAACTTTTCCTTTAAAAGGACTTTTAACAAGAGACGAGTCCCACAATGAAAATTTCCACTGGATTTCGTTCATTCGTGTTAAAAAATTTTAAAATATTACGTTTTCATTCAAACTGAAATCAACACGTGATAGTAAAATTTCATGATAAATAATCAATGTATTAATTTTAATATTTAATTTTCCATATGTTTCTTAGCATAATGTGTGTATACAGAGTTCAAATACAAGTTAATAGTTCAGAGACAATTTAAAATGTCGATGGTTTAAGTGCAATTAAATGATTTGGCACAGACTATTGAGATAAACTAATCGATTCTAAACTGAAGACCTATAGATCAATACTCTGCGGATTCAGTGCTTCTCTTTTCTGCCTAGAAACCTTTGCAAAGGTTCAGCCAAGAAATCGAATAATATCGGTAAAGAATCTTAATGAAGTCCTGCGAGATGCAATCAGAAAATATTTTTTCAATTAACGCCCGCCCCCCCCCTCCGCACTGAATAGAAGCCCACTGAGCTTCTAATTTGTTTTGAAAATCATAAATTTTGACATGGGCTTGTATTTCGATCAACTTTTTTTTTTACATTGCCGCTACAATTTAATTAGCCTGCAAGCACAGAACGTCTTAAAAATTGTTGAATCTGAATTTTCAGACAATCTGAGCACTTTTGGAGTAGCTATCATAGTTTCCTTGGAACCAAGGACTGACTACTAGTTCTTTCCGTGTCCGTACTATTAAATTCACAATCCAGTGTGCTCTTTACATTAAGTTTCCCATTCAAGTGTTCATATACTGTCAACATTTCATGAATCTTGTTATGGATACAAAAACTCGACGTCAAAATAATATCTTGATTTGCGAAATTGTCGAGTTTTGAAGAAATTTTAAAAAGATTTTTAGTAGACAAGTACCGACATAGCTGTGTTGGACGACTTCATTATGGCAGTTTATGCACAGTTCGAATACGAAACGAGATAGATTTAAATTATCTCAACAAAAAGTATGAAGTAGACTTTTGACTACACAATAAGAGTCTGCCATTCAGACCAAGCAGTCTCGCGATAACATCGCAGAAGATAGTATCTCTGATATTGTCTGATCTTATAAGATCAGATGAAAATCGTAAAAAATCCGTTTTCGCAGAAATCTTACGCTAAATCGTATCATAAGATTCTTGAAAGACCTTCTAGTCTCATAAGTAGGGGTCGGCAGTTACCGTTCCCAGACCGTTACCCGGTAACGGTAACGGTAACGGTTCATACGGAAGAAGTTACCAGTTACCCGGGAATGGTAACGGCCGGTTACCAGTTACCCGAGAACGGGGTAACGGTAGTACTATTGCAGGACACCTATCGGTCCTCAAGTCCTACTGTTGGGGGATACCCTTGGCTCCTCAAGTCCTACCATCCGGGGTACTCTTGGGTCCTCAAGTCCTAC